CCCCAAAACCCCAAAACCCCAAAACCCCAGGGTTTAAATGAATTTTTGAAGGATTATGGCATCTTTTGGAAAAAATTCGGATAATTTAAGATAATTTAGGAAGTTAGAAGAGAGACTAGATGCGATAAATCACTAAATAGCCTCAAAACTTTCAAATAAAATAGGTCTATTGGGTATTAAAGACAGATCGAAGGTAAAATACTTGAAACATGTATGATACGAACACAGGGTTCCCAACTAACTGGAAAAATTATACTCTAATTGGGAACAAATGTAGCTGAGCTAGATATTCTAATATTCCATTGAATATTCCAAATTTTTCTCACTCCAATGATATGAAGGCCTGAAATCTTTGGACCCTGCTCTGAACAATAATGAAGTCTGGACCAAACCAAACAAAACCTTTCAAGACATTGAGGCTGGAAATTTGTGGATCCTTCCATGTTACAGACAAGGATGCCTTCAAAGAGCTATTATAGGAGATACTACCAGGGACCGCCAACTTCTCTAATAATTTTATAGGATTTAATAATTATGAATACAAGACTCACAATGATTTTTCATATTCAGGGCTTCAGAGAAAACCAAGACATTCATTTGAAGGCTAAGTTTTCTAATATCTCAGTATAAAGAGAGTCAAATTCAGTATAAACTGCTGACAGATTATTAACTTCTCTATCAAATAAATACTTAGAGACTTTTAGGTAAGAGAGGGGCCTACACTTTATTCATAAAAGAACTGATTCTAGCATTTGATTCTATAAATCTCTAGTAGTTTGAAAGTCTGATAAACACCCTTCCGAGTCTATAGATATAAAAGAGTTTGGACATTTCAGAATTGGATTCCAAAGAGTACAAGCAAGGGATTAGGTGTCTTTCCGACTGACTCAAAAATGTTACATCTTTCTTATCATAATACAGTCAAGAGGTATTGATTGCACATCAGATACTTTTCACTAGCTGATATTAAATACAGATACACTTTTGTGTTGAAAGATCTTGAGCATTCCTGATAAACAAGAAGGATTTAGCAGGTGTCAATCTTTAAAATGCCTTCTCCAATCTTGTTTTTGCGACTGCAAACTTTGTTATTTACTAGTTGTTGATACTTCCCAATTCAATACTAATTCCAGATATTGGGGTTTTGGGGTTTTGGGGTTTTGGGGTTTTGGGG